TACGGACATGTGCGTTTCACCGCATTCCAGTACAGTTCTGTGCAAAAAAAAAATGCATCCCGTTCTACTTTTTTTTTTCTGCAACCGGAACGCACTGGAACTGCAAGCACTGATGTGAACGATGACACCGACAACCATATCACCTACTTTCTGTGTGTTTTGGATGCAGAAAAAAAGCCACTGAAACGCATGGAGTGTGAAGCGGCCCTAAAGGTTACCCAGATAGTGACATGCGTTAATATTCATTTGCTTTCCCTGACCTCAGTCCACATTGTCTATGAAATTTCTTTGAAACATCAGCATGGGGTAAGGATCATTCCAGCTGGTGGGCCAATCACCATTCACCCTCAGTTTCAAAGATATTTTTTAGTACATTGTAACATTTTTTTTTCTTTCCTCATTGTAACAGAAGTTTCATTTTTAAAAGCCCGGTGATGGGTGGGTGTCTATGGCTGGCTGATTAGAGTAGCAAATTCCTGGCGCTGTAACCTTGAGTGAGCGATGAATTCGTATTTCAGTTTTATTCGAATTCTATTCTGATACCATACTAATAGTGTCCCTCTGGGGCATCTGGGTGTCATGTAGGTTGAGTCCGCGCACCGATGGACAAGAGCCTCCGATTTGGAACATTGTATTTCAAGTTACATAGTTACATAGTTAATGTAAACGAAGGTAATATGGTGCAGCGCTACAAGAATGAAAACTGAAGACAGTCAGAAGTCAATGTAATAGTATCCGTGGTTTCTTATATAGGGTGCAAACTTCCAAAGCTCTTGCGGCCTTAAATAATAGCAATGCGCACTCACCAGAAACGCATGGGTTATGCGCATGTAGGAATAATCATTCCAGATGTCAGATCCTCCAACATTCAGATGGCAAGCATCCCTCTCACGGTGGGTCGCCGAAGACTCAAAGCCAGATCCTGAGGTCCTCCTTAAGGTGTACCAGGCACTTCACAATGGTGGTGGGACTTAGCATAAAATATATAGGGTAGCATGCAAATCCATCAGCCTCCCCTCTGATGATGTGCTTTTGGCAGGAAAGGCCTAAGGAGGAGCTGTACAGAGCGTGACGTCATTCGCACCGCCGGAGCCACGAGGAGGCTCGGCGGACATCTTTACTAGGGTCAGTCACTGCTACCTTATCCTTATTTAACCTGTATGGGTCTGGATTTGCATGCTACCCTATATTTTATGCTAAGGCAAATAAATTTTCTTAAACCTACTACACTATCTCTGGCACCTGTGTTTTTTCTGGGGCTCCCTTGTGGAGCTGTTACCCCCACAGAGAAGGTGCCATTACCACTCAGTGGAGAGAGTCCCACCACCATTGTGAAGTGCCTGATATACCTTAAGCAGGACCTCAGGATCTGGCTTTGAGTCTTCGGCGACCCACCGTGAGAGGGATGCTTGCCATCTGAATGTTGGAGGATCTGACATCTGGAATGATTATTCCTACATGCGCATAACCCATGCGTTTCTGGTGAGTGCGCATTGCTATTATTTAAGGCCGCAAGAGCTTTGGAAGTTTGCACCCTATATAAGAAACCACGGATACTATTACATTGACTTCTGACTGTCTTCAGTTTTCATTCTTGTAGCGCTGCACCATATTACCTTCGTTTACATTTACATTCAAAGGCATTGTGGTTGCCTTAGGTGCTTTAGCTGCTGTGTTATAAGAGCGCTCACTATTATCCATTTTTGTCTTTTGTCATAGTTACATAGTTAGTCTGGCTGAAAAATAGACAAAAGTCCATCCAGTTCAACTATAGAAAAAAAAAAAAAGTTCTAATCCTCCACCCCCAGTTGATCCAGAGGAAGGCAGTTGGAGTTGTAGTCCAAACATATATTAGGAAAACGGGCAACGCGTTTCGAGGCTGCGCTTTAGTCCCTTCATCAGACCTTAAAATGGTTGTAAACCCCTACATATACCCGATATACCGAGAGTGGCCTCATTTGATACACCGAGATGCATCAAATCCTCCTACATAAGTTGTACCTGTTTATCTGCAGCCCTCTCTACATCCATTCAAAGTCCAGAATTTATAAAGCTTGTCTGAGCTCCGGAAGGCAGGGGGTGGGGAGCTGATGTCACACACACACTGAACAGCACAGAGCAGGGGTGTCAAACTGACGACCCTCCGGCTGTTGCAAAACTACAAGTCCCATCATGCCTCTACCTTTAGTAGTCATGCTTGTCACCAGGGGCGGGCTGACAACTCATGGGGCCCCTGTATCCTCGCCCACACCCGAAAAAAAGCCAATGAAAGGTACCAGGGGCATCTCATGGGGCCCCATACTGACCCTGGGCCCTCGGGCAGTGCCTGAGTGGCTAAATGGTCAGTCCGCCCCTGCTTGTCACTGTCAATCTTGGAATGCCTCATGGGACTTGTAGTTTAGCAACAGCTGGAGGGCCACCAGTTTGACACCTGTGGCGTAGAGCATTGAGCTGAGTGTAATCTGAGACCTGACTGGAGGTGAAAGGATACCCCACACACACAGTCAGGGGTGGACTGACAACTCATGGGGCCCCTGGGCAATAGGGGATCGTGGCGCCCCTGTGTCCGTGCCCAAACTCAAAAAAGCCTATGAAAAAGGTACCAGGAGCATCTCATGGGGCCCCCTACTGACCCCAGGTCCTCGGGCAGTGCCTGAGTTTCCAAATGGTCAGTCTGCCCCTGCACACAGTCTTACTGTATGGGGAAACACAGCTGAGACTGTCAATCACCTGCTGTGTACTGGAGTGGGCATCTCCAGGGATTGTCTGCTGTCATCATAGACAGAAGTGACTTATGTATATTGCAGAGGAATCAGAGAGGAGACAGAAATCACGCTAGGTGCATCGGATCAAGGCAAATGCACACTATAGAAGGGTATGCTTTGTTCATTTTTTATCTCAGAGGTTTACGACCAGTTTAAGGAAATTCGAGATCTGCTTATTTGGGATTCCCGACCCCAGAACTGCAAGTGGAAAAAATAAAAGCTGGGGATGCTTGTGACCCCATTGACCTAATGAGATCACATGGCCATATTGGTTCAATGTCATTGACGTAATATTGCCATGTGGCCATATTAGGTCAATGATGTCGTGAGCTTCCCCCTTCCCCTTTGTGTACTTGCAGCTGTGGGGTGGGGAATCCCCTGTCCTCGGCACTGACAGCGTCTTTCCAGGTATGGACCAAACCCAGGCTCATCCCTACTGACAACGCTGCTTGGGGTTTTAGGGCAGCAGAGTCAGAGTTGTCAGCTCACTATAGGAATTTAGCTTGATGGATTTCTGGTGGGATCAGCAGCTATTTTTCTGTACTCTCGGATATCTACTGAATATTTTTTTTTTTATTTTGCAGAGACATTCCTGACTTTCCTGACAAGTAAAACACTGCAGACACGTAGCGGCGCCACCAGGGGCGGACTGACCATTTGGGAATTTGGGCACTGCCCGAGGGCCCGGGGTCAGTAGGGGGCCCCATGAGATGCCCCTGGTGCCTTTCATAGGCTTTTTTGGGTGTTGTTTGAGTGTGGGCGAGGACACAGGGGCTCCATGATCCCCTATTGCCCGTGGTTGTCAGTCCGCCCCTGGGCGCCACTAATTGTCAAAGGCACGCCCACGTATCTTCAATTACGCCGTGTCCAACCACATGGTGCCGTAGTACCATGCGAATCGGTGTGTTGTGTTTTTGTAAGCCTGGGCTCGAGTGCAGGATAGTCCCTTATAGAATGGGCTCCCCTATACCTGACACAAGGGAACATGCAAACAAAAAAAAAATAAGAAAAAGAAAACAATGTAACAATTAAAAAGAATGATCTTTAACAAGCTGGTGTAACGAGCTGTACTGACTTGACAGGAAGTGCTGACCTATAGCAACTTGTCGGTTGAAATAGTGACAGTTGATTGGTTGGTGTAGGTTACTGTACCCTTTTATACTGGCAACGGTAATTGGCTGAGAGTTTCCATTCCCTGACATGTGATGGTATGGCAATATGTTGGCCAAGTGCTGACCTATAGCAACCTTTCGGTGGAAATAGTGACAGTTGATTGGTTGGTGTAGGTTACCGTACCCTTTTATACTGACAACGGTAATTGGCTGAGAGTTTCCATTCCCTGACATGTGATGGTATGATGGCATGGCAATATGTTGGCCAAGCCTTCATATGTTGGCCAAGTACGGTCAGCACTTGGCCAATCTGTCGGTGGAAATAGTGACAGTTGAATGGTTGGTGTAGGTTACTATACCCTTTTATACTGGCAACGGTAATTGGCTGAGAGTTTCCAGTCCCTGACATGTGATGGTATGATGGTATGGCAATATGTTGGCCAAGCCTTCATATGTTGGCCAAGTGCTGACCTATAGCAACCTGTCGGTGGAAATAGTGACAGTTGATTGGTTGGTGTAGGTTACCGTACCCTTTTATACTGGCAACGGTAATTGGCTGAGAGTTTCCATTCCCTGACATGTGATGGTATGGCAATATGTTGGCCAAGTGCTGACCTATAGCAAACTGTTGGTCGAAATAGTGACAGTTGATTGGTTGGTGTAGGTCACTATACCCTTTTATACTGGCAACAGTAATTGGCTGAGAGTTTCCATTCCCTGACATGTAATGGTATGATGGTATGGCAATATGTTGGCCAAGCCTTCATGGTGAGGATTTCTCCTTTAAGGGATGAAGATCATCGTTCATGTGCAGCCATCAAACGCAATCCAAGATACAAAAGCTTTGTTCATTCCTCGGACATCGTTCCTGGAAGCCTCAATACAAACGCCTTAGCGTCAGAATTTGTCATCAGCCTCACAGCATCCTGCCGAGGATGTTTTCTTAAAAAAAATGTATATATAATCCAGCATGTTAGTGGTGATCCCCTGAGACACAATGGGCCCGGCTCTGAGAAACGGGACTTTGGTGTAGTTCTTTTGTCGTAGAACACATTAGTGTTTCCCAATGTAAACACGGCGAGGAAAGAGAGGGGGGGCTGGAGAGACGATCCCCCCCATCCTCTCAGATAAAATATTCTTTCTTCGACTCATCTATGGACTCCTGCAGCGACGGGTCGTTTTTCAGGGCGGCGTCGGCGCTCTCGGCAAATTCCGTGCCTTTGGCCTCATTGGTGAAGTACGTTCCTTTGTGTCTGTACCTGTAACGGAGCACCACGACGATGAGGATCACGAGGACCGCGATCACGGCAACAATGATACCTAATGAGAGAAAGGACCAGGAAACATTATTACTGCTAAACATACTTCATTAACCTCTTCATGTCCGGACACTTTCACCCCCTTCCAGTCTGGACACTTTCACCCCCCCCTTCCAGTCCGGACACTTTCACCCCCTTTCCAGTCTGGACACTTTCACCCCCTTCCAGTCCGGACATTTTCACCCCCTTCCTGTCCGGACACTTTCCCCCCCTTCCTGTCTGGACACTTCCCCCCCCCCCCTTCCTGTCCGGACACTTTCACCCCCTTCCAGTCCGGACACTTTCCCCCCCCTTCCAGTCCGGACACTTTCCCCCCCTTCCAGTCCAGACACTTTCACCCCCTTCCTGTCCGGACACTTTCACCCCCTTCCAGTCCGGACACTTTCCCCCCCCTTCCAGTCCGGACACTTTCCCCCCCTTCCAGTCCGGACACTTTCCCCCCCTTCCAGTCCCACTTTCCCCCCCTTCCAGTCCGGACACTTTCCCCCCCTTCCAGTCCGGACACTTTCACCCACCTTCCAGTCCGGACACTTTCCCCCCCTTCCAGTCCGGACACTTTCCCCCCCTTCCAGTCCGGACACTTTCCCCCCCTTCCCCCCCCTTCCAGTCCGGACACTTTCCCCCCCTTCCAGTCCGGACACTTTCCCCCCCTTCCAGTCTGGACACTTTCCCCCCCCCTTCCAGTCGGGACACTTTCCCCCCCTTCCTGTCCGGACACTTTCCCCCTTCCAGTCCGGACACTTTCACCCCCCTTCCAGTCCGGACACTTTCACCGGACACTTTCCCCCTCTTCCAGTCCGGACACTTTCCCCCCCTTCCTGCCCAGGCCAATTTTCAGCTTTCAGCGCTATCACACTTTGAATGACAATTGGACCCATATGAATTTTTTAGCATTTTTTGAGACCGATAAAGCTTTATTTTGGTGGTATTTATTCACCGCTGGGATTTTTATTTTTTTCCTATATAAATGAAAAAGTCCAAACATTTAGAAAAAAAAGTGTTTTTCTTATAAAATTTTGCAGATAAATAATCTTTCTTCATAAATCTTGGCCAAAATGTATTCATCTATCTTTTTAGTAAAAAAAAAAAAAAAATAACTCAAATTAGTTTATAACTAAAAATGATAATTTTTCAAAAAATGTGTTTACATTTTTATGTATTTTTTTTTTTATATTAGTATTTATGTTTTTTTGGGGTTTTTTTTTTACATACTGTCACCCTAGCAGTACAGTGTCATCATAGTGACACTGTACTACTTGTGGGGGGTGATAACGATTTTTTTTCTTTTTTTTACACTGATTGCTTTTACACCCATAAAGGCTGTAAAAGCAATAATTTCTCCTTCTCTCTGGCTGCATTCTTGCAGCCATTGAGAAATACTGTGAGAGCTGTGATTGGTCACAGCTTGTCACATGGTACAAGGCTGTTGTGAATGGCCCTGTACCATGTAATCTCTGTGATCATTCACAGATTTCACACGTAGTAAGCAATGATGTCAGGAAGTGACATCTTGTTTACTACTATTCATGTGATCACTGATTGGCCAATCAGTGATCACATGATCGGGACCTCGCACAGAGGTCCCGTACAGCGATCTGTGTTCCGCTGTGTCCTCCGGACACAGTGGGCATCAAACGCAGTGCTGTGTGCTCATAGGGAGCACGCACAGGCAATGGATGCGGGGGGACATTTAGAAACGTCCACCCGCTTCGGCAGCACTCGCATCTAGTCGTTTATCTACATGGGCTGGACGGGAAGTGGTTAAAGTAGATGTACACCCAAAGTGGATAATAAAGTACAAGACCGCACTCCATGAAAGCCATCCAATCAGATTTATTCAAAGTAGCTGACTTCTGCACAGACCCCACCCTAAGGCATGCTCCTATAACGCCTTTCACCCAAATTAGGTTTATTCATATACAAAAAGTCCAACTGCGTCGGAGAGGCGTGGCTTAGGATGAACTGCGTCAGTAGGCGTGGCTTTGGGCAGGGACTATGTTGAAGTCAGCTACTTTGATTACATTGAATAGGACGACTTTCATGGAGTGTGGTCTTGTACTATATCCCGGCTATACTGGCTAAGCTGGATGAGCTCAACCAGCCCCCAGAGTGGCAGAGGACCCGAGAAGCAAGCTTGGGACTTGCAGTGCAATTTGTTTTATCTTTGAACATCCAAAGTGGATGATATTTAGTTTCCCAAAGCAAAGTGCATCTTTTATTTTTCTTTTTTGTGGTTCCTATTTTCTTCAACTGCCATTGTGCTCTACCAGGTTTCAGGTGTGTCCTGCAATTTTCAAGTGGTTGTAAATGTAGCGCCCCTCTAGTTAGCTAGGGGGAGCCGGATAGTTTTTTTTTTAGATAAAGGCTGGATAGCAGCCCAGGATGCGTCAGCTTGGGATGGGTCAGCTAGGTTATTTTGGGTCAGGGCTGAGGGCTTTACAGGTCAGTTCCCTGATACCTCCCCCTGTGCTAGAAGCTTGAGAAGTTTCTAGAAGGCAGTGGGTGGGGTGAAGAGGGCCTGATTTGCGTAGTTAAGGGATCTTGGCCAATCCCCAAGCAGGAGGCTTGGCATCAGAGGCGTAGCTAGGATATTTTGCGCCCGGGTACGAACGGCCACCTCATGACACACCCCCCCCCCCGCTTCATATGGTCCCTGTAGACACCCCACCCTGTCCCAATCACATTGCCCCCCCCCCCTTCATCCATGGCACTACTCACCCGGCTCGGCTCTCCCCTCTGGCACATGCCCTGCTCACTGCCCTCCTCTCCGCTCCTCTGCCAGCCAGCTCCTCTCTCCTCTCATAACTCACTGTGGATGGCAGACGTATCAGATGACACGTCTGCTGCAGCCGCTGCAGTGATCTTGTGACCTCATTTTGGCGCCCCTGTACCTTGGCACCCGGGGTACATGTACCCCCCTGCCCCCACCCTAGCTACGCCTCTGCTTGGCATGGGGCCAGGACAGCCCTTAAATATGAGAGAGCCTGATCAGAAGTAGTAGTAGTGGTGGTTGGAAGATGGAGTGGAGGCTGGAGTGTGGAGCCTGGGAGACGGCCCAGGAGAGGGGCCTACTTGCAGGCAGGAGCTGGAAGGGGAGGATCTCTCAGCCTTACTCATCCCATGGGAAAATACAACTTGGGAAGCAGGGAAGGAACCAGCCCAGCATAAGGCCTGAAGGCAGCCACCAATCCACAAGCTTGCAGGTGAGGACTGAGTGAGCAATCCCACACCCCCTGGCCCAGATAAGGGAAGTGGGAAACCTGACTAGTCCCCATCTGGGACTGTTGACTTAAAGTGTTAGTTTCTGGGCCCCTTGTCCAGCAATTCCTTCAGGCAGCTGGGTAAAGATGGGATTTCATCTGGGGTCTGAGGCGGTACACCCGGAGGGCTGGAGAGGTCTCCAAGAAGAGAATCTTTGTAGATTGTACATAGTTGCTAAGAAGTTGTCCTCAAGTTTCCTTGGGCATCCCATATACCCTTCAGCCCTACCCAAGGTTAATACCCCTAAAAAAAACCTAAAATACAAGCTCAATGACTGTTTACTGACTCCAGTGTGCAAGTGTGAAGAAAATGTGTGTTTCCTGGCTGTGCAGGACAATAGGGGTACCCAAAACTCAGTAACTCCTAAGGTGGTAGTGTTACATAAACTCTTACATATAACTGGCGAAGTGCATGGCCTCAGGTGATACACCATTCAAAGTGCTGGACTTATAAAGCTTGTCTGAGGTTCAGAAAAAAGGGGGCGGAGATCTGAAATTACACACTGCAGAGCTCTGAGAGCTGATTGGAGGGAAGAGATACAGCCCACATAGCTCACAAGAACAGAGCTGAGGCTGTCAATCTGCTGGAGGTCCCTCCCCGTCACCATTTTTCTCTTGGTGTCAGGAAAACTTGTTGGAAGTGATTCATGCTGATGGAGAGGATCGAATCAGCAGACAGAAATGCCACTTAGGGGTTGATTTATTATAGGCAAATAGACTATGCACTTTGCAAAGTGTAATTGCACTCTACATGTGTAGATGCTCCAGAGCTTAGTAAATGAGGTAAAGGTTCACTTTGCACAGAATACTCAATCACAGGCAAGGAAAATAAAAAAAAAACTATTTCCTGGCACGTGATTGGATGATGGAAGTCAGCAGAGCTTCTACTCATTTACTAAGCTCTGGAGCACCTGCAATTGCAAAGTGCACCGTCTATTTGCCTTTAGTAAATCAACCCCTTAGTGCTCTGGACTGAGACAAGTACACACTATAGAGGAATATGCTTTGTTTATACTTCATGTCTGAGGTTTACAACCACTTTAAGGTAAAAAAAATCCTTTGGACCTTAAAACCAATTTAATTTCCATATCATTAACCTGGTTCTGAAATGATCAGGAGAGATACAGGAATATTGTACGGCATTGAAAGTGCTACTAAACCCACAACAAAAAACTCCACTCTCTTGGCCTCCGAGACTCCGCTCTCTCCTGGTTCTCCTCCTATCACAGCACTCCTTCAGTGTTACCTATAACTCTGTCTCCTCCACTCCACTCCACTCCCTCTTTCTGTAGGGGTCCCTCAAGGTTCTGTCCTTGGACCCCTTCTCTTCTCCATCTCCATCTCCTCCCTTGGTCATTTGATAAACTCCCACGGCTTCCAGTACCATCTCTATGCTGATGACACACAAATCTATCTTTCTCACTCCTCACCTCACCCCTTCAGTCTCCTCCTCACCTCACCCCTTCAGTCTCCTCCTCACCTCACCCCTTCAGTCTCCTCCTTACCTCGCCCCTTCAGTCTCCTCTGACATTACTAGCCTACTAAGTGACATATCGGCATGGATGCCACTCCACTTCCTCAAACTCAATCTTTCCAAAACTGAGCTCTTAGTATTCCCCCCAGCCCGCGCCCCCCCCCCCCTGACTTCACCATAAATATCAGTAACACAACCATCAGTCCCTCCCCTCATGCCAGGGTACGAGGTGTAATCCTAGGCTCCCATCCATCCTTTCACCCCCAAATCCAATCACTGTCCAAATCTTGTAGACTTCACCTCCGCAACA